AAATTATAAGAAAAATATTGATTCAGTGAGATTCAATTAGCGAACGTAAGCGTTATGTTTGTGAGAAGATATGATACACATAAATACATATGTACAGATAAGGTTCATAAATACATAATAATAATGATAATAATAAATGGGATTTATTTCGTACCTGAGTAAAAGTACAAAAAAGGCGAAGTGCCGCTAAGATTAGCGTTTTTCAACTTAACCTTAACCTTAACAAACAAAAAACTATATATACCAACAAAAATGTATCCATAATTCTCAATAATTACTAAATAATTAACAACACAGAACAATTACAAGAATAGTCCATATTTCTAGCATTTTGTACTCATCATCAGACCTCGACTTGTAGTTTTAGTTTAAGCCTCTTTTTAAAATTAAATAACCTATAGTTTTGGAATGTAACAGGCAGATCATTATATAATTTAATAGCATTGTAGCTGAATGATGTTTTGTAGACAGCCTTAGAATGTAAGGGTATCACTAACATATTCCTATTCCTTGTATTCAGTTGATTTATGTCACTACATCGTGTTAACTTATTATGCAAATATTGTGGTTGTTTGGTAGCTAAGACCTTATGTGTGAGTGTCAATAAGTGAAGCTTTTGCATGCCTTTAATCTGCAGAGTACCAAGTTCCTTAAATTTATGAGAAATATAATCAAACTTTCGTATTCAGCAAGAAAATCTGGTACACGAATTCTGAATACCCTGTAATTTGCTTTGTTCACTATATGATAGAGCTGCGCCATATATACTGTCACAATAACTGGTTTTTGATATAATTAATGTTTCACACCGTTCAGCTTTACTGAAGTAGATATTATTTGCCTATGTGGATAAAACTGTTTCAAAATGCAGTATGATGCACTACATAACGAATTTACGTGTTTTTTGTATTTTAGTTCTGTGTCAATCCAGAGTCCCAGGTTTTTACACTCATTCATTATAGGAAGCCGGCAATCATAGAGTTTAAGGTTAATTTCCGTTTCGATCAATGTTCTTTTGTTTTTTGAGCCGAAAACCATAACTGAAGATTTAGATGGATTAATTTTAGGTTATGCGAGCACGAGATGTCTACTAGCCTTGTTAAGTCTTCTGCAATTTTAAGATCTTGTGTTGGAAACTAAAATAAATTTGAGTATCATCAGCATACTGATGGATTTTGCAATTATGGACATATTGATGGAAATCCGATGTATATAGAGAGAACAGTAAAGGTCCCAGTATGGAACCTTGAGGGAACACCAAAACCATAGTAAGACAGCTTAAGTAGCAGAATTTTAGGGTCTATCATATCGAAAGCTTTTGTGTAATCCAGCAGAACTAAACAAGTGATATTTCCTTGATCAAGGCCTCTTATAACATCATCAGTGACATTGGCTAGAGCAGTTGTTGTACTATGGTTTTCCCTGAATCCAGACCGTATTGATGGAACTATTTCATTACTGAAAATATACTGAGATATTTGTATCTTCATTTCCCGTTCCAAAAGCTTCGAAAATGCGGGAAGTAAGCTGACTGGTCTAAGTTGCGTTACAAACGTGGGAATCGCTACTTTAGGAATAGGTATGATGATAGCCTGCTTCCAAGCATCAGGGAAACAGGATGTTACTACTATTCGTCATTTATTTGTCTGGGCGGTCCGTAGGACCTTTGCCCATTAGTCACTGTCTGATGTACGTTAGTCGAATCTGTCAGTCCTGGTTGCCCAGAAACCAGACAAAGTCAAGGAAAAAGAGAAAGGGAAAGAGAAGAAAAAAGGAGAAGAACAAAGAAAAACAGATATGCTTAGTTTAAGAGGAAACACCTAGGCTTTTTGACTTGGTACACGGATTAATTTTGAGGTGAACTAAACAAATTTTTGATTCGGTTTTGTTAGAGTGTAATTTTGAGTTTACTAAAGATTCACGCTAACTTTTGATTACAGTGCGAGCCGTGGCCTTGAATGTTTACGAACTTGCTCCACTGTGTAGTCCACTGAGTCACGCAACAGAGGGTTGCTGTGCGATTCCGCTTGACTATAACGTCGCTGCGCCTGAAGCTTGACATAATCCCTCAAGTAAGGAATGTCAAGGTCTCTGTGTAGTGTCTCATTTGAGACATACCATGGAGCGTTGCAAATTGTCCGCAAAGTTCTGCTTTGCAGTACTTGAAGACTTTGCATGCGTGTCTTGGCAAGAAAACACCAAGCCGCACATGCATAAGTAATGGCTGGTCTAATAATCATTTTATATAGTCGAACTTTGTTTTTCAAACTCAATTTGGAGGATCTACATAACAAAGGATATAGTTGCCGAAACACAATTTGGAATTTTGTTTTTATGGATGCTGTATGTTTCTGCCAGGTCATGCCTTTATCAAGGGTGACACCGAGATACTTGGCAGAATTTGTCCACGGTACTCGATTTCCGTCTACAGAAACCTCTGCTGGGGGGCCGCGACATTTTTTGGTACAATAAATAGCCTGCGTTTTCGAATGATTAATTTTTATCAGCCACCGTTCCGCCCACTATAGAACTTCGTCCACCGCATTCTGCAACCCATCGTGAACCAGATCACCAGTACACGACTGGGCGACAAGTGCAGTGTCGTCAGCATAGAGGTAGACTTCACAGTTGCTGGGGGAAGGGACATCATGGATGAAAAGCGAATAAAGAATTGGTCCTAGGACCGAACCCTGAAGAACACCGGCCCGTACTCGCCGTGTTGTTGACAAAACATTGTTAATTTTGATCCGAAACTTCCTTCCTTCAAGAAAGGATTTCAGTAATTTTAGAAGCCAAAAAGGAAAACCCTTTTGGATTAGTTTATAGAGGAGGCTCGCGTGCCACACCTTGTCAAAGGCTTTTGATACATCCAAAAGCAAGATGCCCGTACTCTTGCTAAGGGTGAACCCTCTGGTTACATGCTCCACCAGCCTGACTGCCTGTAGCTCGGTGCTATGCTCGGACCGAAAACCGAATTGGACGTCAGGAATCACATGGTGATTTGACGAAAAATTCTCAAGGTGACGATAAATCACCTTTTCGGCGAGCTTAGAAGGAGCTGACAGCAGACTTATGGGACGGTAATCCTGAGGAAATATCGAACCCACCTTCTTTGGAATCATGATGACCTCAGCAGTCTTCCACCCAGCAGGGAAGTACTGGATTTTGAGCGTCGCATTGATTATTGTCACCAAGTATGTCAGGGCGTTCGGCGAGAGCAGCTTCAACGCCTTGTTGGTGATTTGATCCTCCCCAGGTGCTTTACGCACCTTGAGGTCTTAATATGATTTAGTAACTCCGCTGGTGTGCAATGTGGAAACTCGGAGGGTTCCGCTAATGTGCTATGTGGAGCCTCAGACGAATCTTCTGAAGAAGAGTCATCTGAAGAGGATTCAGTGCCTCCGCTAACGCCGTTGGCCCTAAAATATCTCCTGACGGATCGTACGATGTGCTGTTCCTCGTCGAGGTCATTATCGAGATCATAGTTGGGAGAGAACTGTTTTTCCATGGCATCAGCGAAAACCTCGACCTTATCCTCCGTTCTGAAGACTATGCCTTCAGGACCGTGGATGTGTGGGAGTTGTTCTCGCTTTCCGTTTCTGAGTGACTTTGCGACCCTCCAGAGAGGAATACTTGAATCAACCATTCCCGCCAGAAAGTCGCTCCATTGCTCGTTGCGGAGTTCGTGCAGTGCGTTTCTCACTTCATGGACAAGATTTGTAGCCCTACGAATGTCATCAGGATGACAAGACCTTTTTGCTTGCTTAATAGCGGCTCTTTTGTCAGAGATTTTCTGACGAATGTCCGCAGGCAAAAAAGGTCTGCCGTGTCGTTGTACAGGAAATACAGCTGCACGCTGTAGAGCTGCTTGAATGAAACTTGTCCATTCCGCTTGAGCGGCATCTATTCCAGACTCATCATCTATAATCGGGATATTGGGAAACTCTCTAAGGAGGAACTTGTATAGGTCCCAATCAATGCGTTTCCTTGGAGGAGCTGCCTCCTCAGAAGTTTGCTCATTGCCCACATCCAAGACAACAGGTAGATGGTCACTAGAGATATCATACAAGATTCGAGAAGAGATACTGTATCTACAGTTTTTAGATATCGCGAAATCGATGACATCTGGTGCCTGAAGATGGTTGAATGGATGATGTGTCGGCTCTTCAGTGCTATGTATAAGGTACCCATTTCGCATCACATGGTTGTACAATCGAACCCCATTAGTGGAATTCAACCTAGAATTCCATGCTCGATGTTTGCAGTTGAAGTCCCCTGCCACAATAAGCGGACCCGAGTAGTCCAAAAGGACCTCCAGATCCGCCTCTTGTAGCCTGGCACCACACCTGACATACACCGATGTGATCTTCAACGAGACACCTCCCGCCATATTGACCACCACAGAGGCTGCTTCGATGCTATGCATCTCCGCATTAGTGCTTCTATAATAGTCTATACCGCGTTTAATCAACACTGCTAAACCGCCGCCTCGACCATTCAATCTGTCCACCTCGGATAACATCATAATTCGGGAGAGCTAAACGATGTCCCGGATTAAGCAACGTTTCCTGCAGCAAGGCCACATCTATACCTTCATCCAAAAGAGCTTGATGAAATTCCCGTTTTTTGGGAATATCCCTCATGCCCAAACAATTCCAAAAAAGAATCTTGTACCTAGACATTTACAGGAAATATCGCCTGCAACGCTTGGGTAGCGCTAATCAGTGGGCTTATTATTTGTTGTAAGGACCTTAGCGCGGTTGCCAGGTCCACATTTTGTGTGCTCAAGGGAGGTTGGGCAGAGGGGGCAGGCAAGGTTGCCTCCCGAGCTGCGTCCGCGTATGATATATTGCGCCTTTGCGCTATAACTTGCAAGTTCCTCCTTGGAGTGAACTTGCAAGTCCGGCTATTTGCGGGATGTCCCTCTCCACAGTTCGCGCACTTGCGTTCTTCCTCTTCTGTGAGGGGGCACAAATGCGTCATGTGGTCCTTTGCACATTTTAAGCATTTGGCGGTGCAGTGCAATATGACTGCGCATGCCCATACTTTTGGCAGCGGTGACACTGCCCAATAAGTCTGGAGTTCTTCTGAACCTCAACTCGAATGACCAGTCCCAGCAGTTCGTGTTCGTTGAACACTTGCTGAGACTTTTCAGTCTTGGGCAGTATCACGACCACCAAAGGCATGGGCGCGCCGCCGCTGCGCTTCAATCGAATGATGTGAAGAGGGCTATATCCCCTCTGCTCCAGTTCTCCCTTAATCTCAGTATCCGAAAAGTTGACGGGAACTCCTCGAACCACCGCCTGGATGTTCCGTTCCGAAGGGAGAGGAAAAGTGTGAGGGGCGCTTCTTCCTCTCGGAATAGGCGAACGATCTTACGGTAGTCGTCCTCGGATTTAGGAATAATCCTTATTCCCGCATCGACGGCAACCGCGCGATCTATTTTAATACCTAGGGAAATAAACTTGAAATTTAAAGTACGCCATCTCGTCCCGTCGCGTAAGACGATCGGGGTTATGCGCCCTTGTCGTGAGGGTTGGGTTGATGCCACGACGGTTGGACGAGATGACGGAGGAGAAGTAAGATCGGCTGACGGAGTCACCTGACAGGTAGATAACGTGGTCCCTGGCTTGGTAATAGAAGCATTAATAGTGTTTCGATTTGATGAATTGTGGGAGGTGTGAAATGGAATTGATCCTGTATTCGGAAGAGGAGGAAAGTCTTGGGTTGATCGATCAGCCTTGTCGCCTTTCCTCCTTCTTAATTTTGCTTTTACAAATCCTTCAGTCTGTACGTCTTCGTCTGTGGATGTGAGATGATCATCGGAAACGTTTCTCAGTGGTCTTTTTAGGGTCTTTGTCCGTTGTTTAGGGGATTCTTTTGAATTTAGTAATATGGTTACCTGGGCGGTAAGGCTGTCAATTTTGGCTGTCTCGTCCTTGATGGTCTCCATTAGGTCTCGAATCTGCCTCGCCTGGTCGTCTATAATCAGCATCAGTTTTTCGATCGCTTTCTGCTCCGATGACATCTGCGTCAGTGAGCTCATGTGTTCTGCTTCTGCTTGGTTTCCGCCACCGCTCAGCTCTTTCCTCATAGTATGTGGAACTGCGTCGTCTGTTGATCCTCCTGGGTCAACTTCCATCTTTTAAAAACTTTTTCTCGCCAACAAATCTCAGAAAACTTATAGCTCGCAAATGTGACAATGTTGTCAAAACCCTTTTTACAGGGCGTAGCCAGGGAAACAGGATGTTGATATTGCGTGATTGATTATAAATGTAATATGGTCTAAGAGCAAAGTGAAAATTGTATTTTATCATAATGTGTGAGATTCCATCAGCCCCTACAGCATTAGTTTTAATAAATGAGAAACTCTTCGCAACAGATTCTTTGGCAACCTTTGGAAACAGAATGACTTGGGAAACTTATTGTTTTGATATTTGTTCAGTAGTTCTAATTGGTTTTGTGTCTTAGTTATGATCGGAATATTTGAGAAATGTGAATTTATTTCATCTGCATCATTGAAGCTATCTGGAAGAGTATTTATAGAGGACTTAATTATATTGAGTTTCCTAAGAGAACTCCGTATTGCTTTACTGTTCCTGCCAGATAGGATATATTCCATATATGCCTTTTTCTCTCTCCGTAGAGCAGCAGCGTAATTACGGAGTTCTTTATAATAGTTCCAGTGGGCAGTTGACTTACTTCTTTCAAACCTTAGATACGCTTTATCTGTAGCTTTATTGATCATTTTAATATTGTATGTTAGCCAAGGAGCTGGTGGCTTAGTAATTCTAAGTGTTCTCATAGGTGCACAATTATCAAATAAATGTAGTATGTTGCTATTTAAAAAATTTACCATGTCATTAACGCTGTTTAATTGAAAAATATCATCCCAATGAGTCGAATGAAATAAATCATAAAAAGTACGTTCATTAAAGTTACGAAAGTCTCTAAACGTGTAAAACTGCTGCGTCCGGTTGCTTAACGTTTTATGGAGGTGACAAACAACAGCTGAATGATCAGATAACTCATGAACTGGTACAACATTGCAGTTTGTTACATTTTCTCCATCTGAGCAGATAATAACATCTATCAATGTTTGTGAGTGGCTTGTAACTCTCGTGGGAGCATCTACTACCTGCTTCAGATTGAAAGAATCTTAAAAATTTAGCATAATATCCGTAGCCGATGAATTAATCAATAAATTTATATTGAGATCACCTAGAATTACAATAACATCCGCAGATGGTAATAATACAGATATGGTATTTTCTACACTGACAAATGTTTGCAGAATATTGGAACAAGGAGGTCGATACAATGCACCGAAGGTATACGTTTTGCCATCGAATCTGAAACTGATCCACTGCTCTTCCAAAAAGGGATCAATATTTGTACGGAGCAACTTGAATTTTATGTGTTCCTTTAGAAAGAAGCCGACACCTCCTCCTCTACCGATTCTGTCCGCATGTATAAAATTGTAATTGGGAATACGGATATCCGAAGATCGATATCCATGATTCAACCAAGTTTCGGTGACTGCAAATATATCGAAATTTTCAGTAATCACAAAATCCTGGAGTAGACAAAATCCTGACAGAAGCGATCTAACATTAAGGCTGATCGTCCATTGGAAGCGTAGTCGCGCGACTCGAAGGTAGCGCGTATACGCCCGTGTATGAGCGATCATGAGACTGAGCGACTGGCATCATTCACTGCAGGCGACTCTATACGACTTAGTTCGCAACTGTCATCATCGAAAGAAAGTGTGCTCTGTAAAATCATGTGAAATGGATTTGCAAAACATGTACTTTTTGGAGCAACCTTACATAATAAGGCGTTTGAGAGCTCGTCGTGATAAGAAGAGACGTTTGTTTTGGCTGAATGAAATACTTAGTAGAAGAAATTTACTGGGAGAATTCCATCACCTACATGACGATTTACTGAATGATCCGCAGAAATTCTTTGATTATTACCGGATGAGTCTAGACACATTTCAGTACATTTTGAGTGCTATAGAGTCATCGATCGCCAAAGATTCAAATTTCAGGGAGACAATAAGACCTGTGGAACGTTTAAGTGTGACTTTAAGGTAAGTAAATTTATTCAATTGTTATAAATCTATATTAAGTTTAATTGAACAAAAAAAAGTAACAAAACCATCTATCATAAAAGGAAATAAAAAAGTACTCAATAGTCGGACAATATGCATTCGTGTTGTAATTCTTATTGCGCCTGATCGGTATTAGCCTTCTTATTATAACACAGTTACTGGATATCTTGAAAGTTCCCGAAATATTGTCGCAAACCTGTATTAATCTGGTCTGCAGATGAGTTCGACGTTTGAATCGTCCATGAGGGTCCACCGGTTTCGCTGGTGCAAGGCGAGGGTACCGGTGTTGTTGTGTAGGTCGATGGGGTTTGCGGGGATCTGTGGTATTGCTCTCCTTCATCAATAAGAACTTGCTGAAGTTTATTTCTTGCATGCAATTTGCGGTGTTCTGGAACTTTTTTAGATATGGTAGAAGACTAACCAAAAACTGATAGTCGCTGTCTCCTTCTTTGTTAGCATGTTCAGTAAATAACTGCAACTTAGCCCTCTCGATTTCTAGAAATTTATCGTCAACCGTGATGTCTGCTGGTGTATTTTTTTTACGTTTAGGATTGCTAGTTCTAGGTGTTAATGGAGGACCAGCAGGACGAACGTCAGCATTACCTGGTTGTGTATCATGCTGTTTTCTAGGCGTCTGATGATTGCTTGCAGGTACTGGGGGTTCCATCTTACTGGTTTCGCTCGATGACATATTGAGTTCTCCTTTGTCAGTGACAACTGCTTGTGGTGATTCCATATCAGGCAAATCATCTTCATCGGCAATATCGTCTCCGACATTATTTCGAGAAAATGTTCTTTCTGTCGAGGCAACATTTCCCTTCAGCTGTCGTGGCTCAATTATGTCGGAGAGAAACAGCATCTGGTCGAAGAAAGTCCATGAAGAGGAACCTTCCTCCGGCGCCTCATCTCCTGATTTATGGACTTTTTTATATTCTCTTCTAAATACATCGCGCAATCCTTTCCACTTTTTCTTTACTTCGTTCACTAAAACACAAAACCACAGTTTTGGTTAATATTGCAAATAGGAACATAAGCAATTTTTTTTCAATAAATGTTCATAATGATTTCTGTTGTTACAGGTACTTGGCCACAGGTGCTTCATTCAAAACATTGGGGTATTCATTTAGAATGTCAGATGTAACTGTTGGAAGAATAGTTAAAGAAACGTGTATTGCTATTTGGGACCAGTTGAGCACTCTACATATGCCATTTCCTCCTACAGATGAACAGCAGGAGTCAATAAAAGAAGGTTTTTGGCGTAAATGGAAATTTCCTAGTTGTGTTGGGTGCATCGATGGAAAACATATACGCATACGAAATCCAGACCATTCAGGCAGCATGTTCAGAAATTACAAGCATTTCTGTTCAACTGTGCTACAAGGTGTGGCGGGACCAGATTACAAGTTTATTACCAATGATACAGGAGGGTACGGCAAGGAAAGTGACGGTGGTGTGTTTTCTAATTCCCGCCTTCATAGAAGGCTTGAAAACAATGAGTTGGGTAATAAACGGCTTACCACACTGCCTGGATCGAATATTAAAGTTCCGTGCGTGCTGTTGGGAGATGAAGCCTATCCATTGAAAACTTACTTGATGCGACCTTTTCTCGCATCACAACTTGGACCTTCACATATAATTTTCAATAAACGACTTTCACAAGCACGGCAAGTCATTGAATGCGCGTTTGGTATTATTTCCGCCAAGTGGAGAGTACTTCAAAAAGGAATTGAGGTTGAACCAAACTTTGTCGATGATATCGTTAAATGTGTATGTTTGTTGCACAATATTATAATTGACAAACAAGGTGAACCACAACCTATGTCAATACCTCAACAATCAGAAACCAGTACTACAAGAGCCAGATTTGCTTCCCTAGGCGAAAATAGGAGCGTCACTACCGCTTATGTGATCAGAGACAAATTCGCAGCATATTTTTGTGAACATCAAGCAAATACCTAAAAAAACTTGTGTTCGAAGTAAAAGCTTTGCACTGTTTTTGCCTGAATATCTCTTATGTTTTGTTCATTTTGTAATATAATAATGATATTGAAAACAACACTTACCATTATTAGTAACACCTACTTCGTCTGCAACTTTCGACCACAATTTCCTCTGAATATCACGAGAATGATACCTTTTGTCTTTCATGTTCCACAACGGAGGCTTTTCACGAACGGCACTAATCAATTTTTCGTTATCAATTTCCATATCGAAAACTAAATATTACCTGCACAGAACACACGAACCCAAACGCAATGAATAATTTTATGGCGTCTTCGTCAGAGATAACCCTATGGTCTTCGTTTGCACATGCGATCACAAGCGACTAATCCCATTTTGGAGGGATCGGTCGCCAATCGCTTGTGGTCGGCCGAGGTCGGTCGCTCAAGGTCGCTTACAGTGGATGTTGTTTACATAATTTGTCATTTGTTAGGATCAGTCGCTTGTATACGGGCGTATACGCGCTACCTTCGAGTCGCGCGACAACGCTTCCAATGGACGATCAGCCTAAGATGACCAACTTTCATGTCTTACATGTAAATTAATGTCTATTTGATAGTAAAGAAATAGTATAAAGAAAATAAAAATAGTCAGTCCACACTTCTCAATTATTCTAAGGAGTACGTATATATGTATTCTACAAAAAAGAAAATATTTATATATATATATATACAGGGTGACTTCGAAGTTGAGTCATTTATTTAACAGTGAGTAGATCTGATCAAAAGAAATGTTTTTTTCCTTTACCATTTTCCTGGTAAAATTAAAGTAACAAAGTTATAGCCCTTTGGAAGTTTGAGTACCGCCCTGTCTCAATAATAATATTATGTGGTCGTGTTTGGCGACAACGGATATAATCCGCCGTATCGGTTCATCGCATCGGAAACAAAAAAGCGAAAGAATTTGGAACGATGCTTTTTACAATTATTTCATTCATTTGTATACAGTCAGTGTCAGTGAATAGTGGTATCTGTTGCGAGGCTCAAACGAAATAAAAAATGGCACATGTTTATGCGGATCGGTTTCCCAATCGAGTACAACCAACCCCTCGTGCCTTTGTTAATGTAGTACAACGGGCTCGTGAATCAGGTGACTTAAGACCTCACAGGGGACCTCACGATCAAATACAGGTCCGCACTGAAATACTTGTCGGGAGGATACTTTATAAAACAGGGTAAACATTTTTTTTTAATTTTTTTTTTATTTTTACACACATATTTTGGTTTATCTTCCTTCTACAATCGTTATCTAAAAATTAATGACTCAACTTCAAAGTCACCCTGTATATATATATATACTTATATGCATACACACAAATATACACACATTTGTTCCAAAACTATAAATAAGAATGACAAGATGAAAGGTTTGGCGTATAGTTAGATTTTAGAATATTGTGTGACTAAAGATGATGTAAATCAGTATATGAATTTATTTTAATTTCTTATTTCTACCAGAGAAAGATGAAGAAGATGCTGATCTTGTTCTCGTAGCTTCTGATTTTTCAACGGCTTGTTGATTCAAGTCGTGATTGGCTTTCTTAGCTGGCGGTTTCACAGGAGAATAGCTATCACGTGCTGTATCAGAGTTAAGGGCTGATGGTTACCCTGTTATTGTTTGTTGAGAAGATACGTGAATACTAGCAACTTCCGATACAGGTATAGTTGGTTGACTTGAACTTTGATTGTCGTTCACCTGAGCTTCGAAGTCCTCGTCGGTAGATTCTACCAATCCGCTGCTTCTTTCTAAATCTTCAGCAGTATACGAATCTCCATTTATCACTAGTTTGTTTCCTATAATTCTGGCAGAGTAGTTTTTTTGTTTAGCTAGTTTACGATGTTTTTGCAGGATCCTGTTGGTCTCGCGGTCCTCAAGACATAAGTCGTTAACAATGAATACTTTAGTATTACGGAGCCTATGTGCATTTTTGAAAATGAGTTGCTTTTTCATATATGAAATTAGTTCAATTTTCACTGGCGGATTCTCTCCAGACTTAATTGGGTAAATATTGTTTAAATCGTCTAGTGTTAACTTGATGGACAGCAATTGGTTTAGTTTATTAAGAACTATCTCCCCATGATTTTGTGCTGAGGAATCTATATCTAGACCAAAAACTAGCACATTGTTTTTGCGTACCACTCTCTCCAGCTGCAGGTTACGCTTCTCTAGCTTCTTATTAATGTTTTCAATACAGCTAATCTGCACATTTTGTTGAGTAATAATTGCTTCATGTTTTATCTGTTCGCTCAAATTATTTGCTTCCGTTTTTACTAGTTCAACCAATTTTGAAAAGAGTTCCGTATTGGTTAATTCAACTCCGCCACTGGTCATTCCTCAGCCTATAGGTGTCTAGCAGATATTTGGCCGGTATGCGATAATGAACCTTACGCTGTCGATTTTATACCGACGTAAAAAGTGGAATTTCAATATTGATGTGTATAAGCCAACTTTGAACAGTAAAATTTTCAAGAAGTACTCACTGCCAGTTCAGATTTGGTTTAGCTGAATTTTACAGTAATCACTGCACTGATGACGGCACTAAAACATAAATTTACGGACAGGATATATCGATGTGTCTTTCGTTTCGGAGAAAATAGCAAATGTAATTTAAATAAATGATTAAGAATTACAAATTTTTTTATTCCCAAAACTAATATGTACCAGGTAAAACCTAGCATATACTAAGTTCTGATAGTAAAAAAATGTCTTTTTCAATATTTACCGTGCCCTTGAGGTAAATCCTAAGATTTACCTAGTGAATGGTGGTAAAAGTTCGAAATAAAAGAACTGTTCGGACTTTTACCATTGACAGTAAATCTTAGGTTTTACCGGAAAATCTTAGGATGTACCACAGTTCGGGATTTTACAGTAATATATATATATATATATATATATATTTTGAGACGTGGTCATTGTCGCCTAGACCAGTTAGGTGAAAAAATTAAAGCTTCCGCCTTTTGTTGGGTACTTCGACAAAATTTAAGCAAAGAGGACTCTTTATACTTTTTTTAATTCTCTCTAGCTTTCAATGGACTTTGCCATCATCATCAGGAGCTGCAATTACAATGATAACAGTAGCAACAAAGGTGTAAAATGAATTTAAATTGACTCAACTTACAGTAGTATGTGAGGATGTTGCTAATTGTTGTTTACGTATAGGATGAGGGAAACGTCCAGTAACATGGTGAGAGCTGGATAGATTGTACAATAGTCAAACTTATATAAAATATGACAAGAACAGTTAAAAACAGATTAAAAATTATTTAAAAAATTAGAGCATTACATCGTGAAGCCACTTGATGATTGCACAAATTAGTGGTCATGGAATGATGAGTGACATGAAACCCTTTGACAGAAGGCCGAAGGATGTCAATGTCAGTATTGAAAGATGGAACGAATTGTGGGCGTGTGCCAAAACGTTGCCAAATCACTTCAGATGATGAGATTTTCAGAATTTTATGTTAGAATTGTTAAACCGACCAGAGGCAGTTGAATAGACTATATTATTATTAATGGGAATTTAAATTAACAATTATTAATAAATCGTGAGGAGAGAATTATTATATTTTGAGTGGAATGAAATTTACTGGTGGAAACGGCCAAAACACAGATTCTAATTATGGTTGTGAAGAGTTGAAATTTGGGGAGATATGTAAGTTCTCCAATTTTTCGCAGTTTAGCAGATATGAGTAAATGACACTCAGTTGTTTAACATCTGTCTTTTTGTTGATACAGTTGTTATTCATGAAAATGTGGACATTTCCAGGAATAAACGTTTGGAAAGGTGTTTTTCTTTATCAAGAACTTTGATACTTGTGTAATTCATAGAATGCCCTGTTGTGTTAACATGAGATGCTAGAGCGCATCTTTCAGGATGAAGCCTAGCATCACTTTTGTGTGATGTAATCCTTCCTTTAAGAGATCTGGAGGTCTGATCTAAGTATATTTGGTTGCAGTTGTTGCAATTGATGGAGTAGACTGTGTTGGTTAAGCCAAGCAGCGGGACTTTGTCTTTCATTTTTGAAAAAATGCAGTTTATAGTGAGGACGGATTTGCAAGCAATTCGAAAGTTCAAAGGACTGCACAATCTGATCAGCTTAGGGGTCAGTTCCTTGATGTAGGGCAGGACAGCAAAACCAGGTCTGGAGTCCGGGTTGGTGCTTGTACTGTTAGGATTGATGTTATTATTGGGAATTACATCAGTTCCGTTATTAGGGGTTGTGCGACTATTACCTGCATCACCAGAGTTCGGCAAAATATTGGAAGGTGAACTAAAAATGATCTTGTTAATCAGACACTTCGGATAACCATTATTGATGAACAGTTTGATAGTTTACGTAAATTTGAGGTGTGGAAGGTATTATCTGAGATGCTGATTACCCTTGTTTTCATCTGTTTTACCAAATTGATTTTAATCCCTAGCTTATGGTATGACCTAAAATTGAGAAACCGACCTGAGGCCATAGGTTTCTGGTACCAGTCTACCAATAAACTGTTGTTGTTGGTGCGAATGAGTCTTGTGTCTAGAAAGGGGACAGACAGGTTCTCATCTTCTTTTCAGAGGCAGTTGAATAGACTATATTATTATTAATGGGAATGTAAAGTAACAATTATTAATAAATCGTGAGGAGAGAATTATTATATTTATTATAATTTCATTCCACTCAAAATATAATAATTCTCTCCTCACGATTTATTAATAATTGTTAATTTAAATTCCCATTAATAATAATATAGTCTATTCAACTGCCTCTGGTCGGTTTAACAAATCTAACATAAAATTCTGAAAATCTCATCATCTGAAGTGATTTGGCAACGTTTTGGCACACGCCCACAATTCGTTCCATCTTTCAATACTGACATTGACATCCTTCGGCCTTCTGTCAAAGGGTTTCATGTCACTCATCATTCCATGACCACTAATTTGTGCAATCATCAAGTGGCTTCACGATGTAATGCTCTAAATTTTTTAAATAATTTTTTAATCTGTTTTTAACTTGTTCTTGTCATATTTTATATAAGTTTGACTATTGTACAATCTATCCAGCTCTCACCATGTTACTGGACGTTTCCCTCATCCTATACGTAAACAACAATTAGCAACATCCTCACATACTACTGTAAGTTGAGTCAATTTAAATTCATTTTACACCTTTGTGCTACTGTTATCATTGTAATTGCAGCTCCTGATGATGATGGCAAAGTCCATTGAAAGCTAGAGAGAATTAAAAAAAAGTATAAAGAGTCCTCTTTGCTTAAATTTTGTCGAAGTACCCAACAAAAGGCGGAAGCTTTAATTTTTTCACCTAACTGGTCTAGACGACAATGACCACGTCTCAAGTTACATCCACAGATTTGGGGTTTTTCAATAACATCACGGAACGTCATGGAACCAGCAGTAAGAATGATGAAGGACTGGATCAAGGGCAGAAAACGACTGGCACAGGAGATCAATCGACGGATTTTTCTTATTAAAATGTAGAAAACATGGCATTACACCACATCACATCACCCACCGCTTTAACATCAATCACACACTTACTAGAA